TACCGTCATGTACCGTGAAAACGGTATAATTTTGAAAAATACCGTTATATACATTTTTGGTCATACCGCCCAGCACTACGTTTACCCCTAAGCTTTGCAATGGCAGAAATAATAAATGTCCAAAGAAACAGACCTGAATAGATTAGTTTTTGACCGACAGCTGGAAAAGCATCTTGCCCCTTTTCTTCCTCTATCTTCTCTTTAAGAGCCTTTACCTGTATTTACAAGGACATAATTTAATCAGAAACATCTTCGCAATTCAAACTTATGTTTTCAAGGACAAAATAAGACTCTGTATGATTATGAAAGCAGGCAACTAATGGTCATGTGCTTCCCAAATTTTCTCCAAGAGCAATAGGTTCATATGTATTCATAATGGCACATGCTGAATTATGAAGTCCTTTAATCTTATTGCTTTGCTCAAACACATTCAGACTTTTTTTTTAACAAACCTCAAATACTCATTACAAAATAACACATTCATAAACACTATACGTTTAAATAACCGAGACAAAAAGTTTTAAATAATAATAGTTCCTAACCTAAATACAATCTATATCAGTAATGCATTGTCATTCTAGGAAAATACGAAGCATGGCAAGCTGTTTTAATATTCATTCATAAAAACAAAGTAGCATGTACACTGTGTATTCCAATTGTCAGTAGCATTTTTATCTTTTCTAGTAAGATTTATTGAACAACAAAGTATTCTTACTAGTCATTACTTTTTAAAAAAGAGTAAATTAATTTACTAGTCACAGTTGGCATACACATTAACGTTTCTTTTATAAATACTAGTATCTATTGAATACAGATTAGTAAAGCTGGAATACATACTAGTAACTACTGGTATAACATACATATTTGGTTTTAATAAATAATAAAATTATAAGAGGTACAAACAATAGCTAGCTGGTAGTGTATACAACCCCCCAAAGAGTTTAGATGCAAAAATTAGCAATTTTTAACCAGTAACAACGCAATACTAATCACTAGTGGAATAGTGACAAGTACGAATAAGCCTTAGTGACTAACTATCGGGATAACTAGCGTTCTAGTATATAATTAAAAGTCATTATCAGTGAAATAGACAATACGTACTAATCGCTATTGGACTACTTGCTGTTAATTAAGATAAGTACTACCTAACATTCAAAAGACTAGTTAGTTTAAACGAATAAACGGCTTGCCACACGACGAAGAGTGTAAACAGACCGCTATTAAAGTCAATCACGCGACCGTTATTTTCAAATTAACAGCCGTTAGAATGTGCGGCTCTGTGACGTCACCTGTTATAATGCAATATTACACAATGACAGCGACTGTCCGCCGCGTTCCACACACAGCCGCCGGAGGCCGCGGCGCTTCCCAGCGCGTCCTGCCCGCGTCCTGCCATGTTTACACGGGCACAGAACCGCACACTCACCGTCAGCTCCTCGTCTATCTGCACTTTGAACGTCTGCTGCTGGAGGGTCTTCAGAGTGATCGTCAGCATTGTGTTTGAGCGCGAAATACAGCCTCGCAAGTGTCCTCAGTGAGCGAGCGTGGAGATGTGACTCAGCTGTCTTCAGGAGGGATGAGGAGCCTGTGTTATGGGAAGACGCCATCTACTTGCTGAATTGGACAAGACACATGGACACATGGACGTACAGTGACCCCTAAGAGTCTCATGAATGTCTGACAAGGCATTATATGAGATAAAATACCTAAGCAACACAAGTTTCTAGAGCTTTCCTCAGAACTAGCTTCACTGGGTCCGTCTGTGACAAACTGTTGGAGACCACGAAAAAGGCAAATCTATATTTCTACATTTTTATATACATGTTTGTTTTGAAAAACATTCGCATCATTCTCAACAAAAGTCTTGGTTTAATTGACTCAAGTAGTGAGGACACATAATTGTGTATTGTAAATCAAGAGAGAATGTGTTTGTGTGTTTGTTTGAACAAATACCATGTGTTTTTCTTGGTGTTTTACCATTTAATAACTTCAACTAACCTTGTCTTGTCAAGGAAAAAAAAAAAAAGTTAAATTTTCTGATTTTGTTGCTCATTTTGAGTCTACAAGGGGGACCCTTGTTTATGTTTGTTTTTGTCACTTGACAACAAAATGGCTCCTTGAATGTTTTTACATTACGCTGTGTATTTAAATGATTATTTATGATTTTGAGTCACGGATCGGATCAGCAAAAAACCCCAAAACCTTACTTTAAAGGTGCAATGTGTAATATTTACATCGATCTATTGACAGAAATGCAATATAATATACATAACTATGTTTTTAGAGGTGTATAAGACCTTACTTAATGAACCGTTATGTTTTTATTACCTTATATTGAGCAATTTATATCTACAGGTGCATCTCAATAAATTAGAATGTCGTGGAAAAGTTCATTTATTTCAGTAATTCAACTCAAATTGTGAAACATATTTATTAAATTCATTAGAATAAATTCAGTGCACACAGACTGAAGTAGTTTAAGTCTTTGGTTCTTTTAATTGTGATGATTTTGGCTCACGTTTCACAAAAACCCACCAATTCACTATCTCAACAAATTAGAATACTTCATAAGACCAAAAAAAAAACATTTTTAGTGAATTGTTGGCCTTCTGGAAAGTATGTTAATTTACTGTACATGTACTCAATACTTGGTTGGGCCTCCTTTTGCATGAATTACTGCATCAGTGCGGCGTGGCATGGAGACAATCAGCCTGTGGCACTGCTGAGGTGGTATGGAAGCCCAGGTTGCTTTGATAGCGGCCTTCAGGTCATCTGCATTGTTGGGTCTGGTGTCTCTCATCTTCCTCTTGACAATACCCCATA